CCCCAAAACCCCAAAACCCCAAAACCCCAAAACCCCAAGATCTAAAATAATAATTGAAATTAATCGATCTAAAATTTTACAGCCAATTTGAGTTGTTTTGTCAGATAATGGAAGTAAGATTGTAAATAGAAAGAGCACATCCTTGGTGTTTGTGAAGGGATATAGGAATAAATTAGTAATAAATACAGTCTCATGTTTTTGTGGTTTAGAAGGAGTCTGAGAGTGGTTTGAAAATTTAATAAGAGTATAGAAATGGATTTTAACACTGATGGCTTTTTAGAGAGGTAAATTTTTAGGGGTTTGAGTTTAGTTTGATATGATTTTTAGAGGTTTAAAAGGAATTGAGGATGTATTGACTTTTTTTGTTTAAAATGGATATCGATTTTTATTTTAATAAACTAACAGCCATTATAGATGAGAAATAATAATCAAGAAGAACGAATAACTTTCCGTAACCTATACGGAGTAGAAAGTAAGCCACTCAAATAACTTACTAATACCACAAAAATACATCCACACCCATTGAAACCCTCCCTAACTAGACTCTGCTTAATTATATTGCATCAGTTTCACTCCAATCCATCACCATCATATTTTCATAAAATTACACAAATTCCCAATATTTTTATCAGAACCATTCTGCTTTTCTTCTAAATCCCCAAAACACCCCTCTCAAATCCCTTTCCAGACCCTCGAGACCCAAAATTCGAACAACTCGACCCAATCTTCGAACAAAACCTCCAAAAATTCTCCTCTAACACCCAATCCCGCCGCAGGGCGTTCCACTACCATGACGAAAGGTACGCTTAAGCCTCAAAACCTAACCCTTCTTCAGTGAAATCATAAACCACGACGATATCGATCTTGGCCCCAAAGAAGCTTGCTTCCAGTCAGGCCTAAGTAAGTACCCCCAAAGTTCTCATCTGACTCAACCTATAGTAAGAGCCCTGCCTGGGCGGGAGAAGAAACTGAACCTGATGCCAAGGGAGAAGAACAAACTGAAGAAATAAGAAGCTGCAGATGAGGTTTTAGTAAGAGCCGAAAATTAGTTTTAGCCAGCCGGAGTTTGAGTCAGAGGATAGTGACGAGGTTTTGGTTGATTCAGCAAGGATAAGTACTTCTGTGAGAGGTAATCGATGTGGGGTTAGGGAGGGAGTGGATGGGGCTGAAGAGAGGCTTGGGGTAGATTTGGGTTAGGAAATGAGGTTTTGTGTTGAAAGATGTGATTTTGATGAGTTTTTAGGTCCGAAGACTATTGATTCTCAAATGAGGAATCTTATTTCGAAGTCAAGTCATATCAATCCTGCTTCAGATTGATCGGATTCAATGGAAATCCAAGAAGGATCATCGTCAAGTTTTAGTAATGAGCCTTGGATTGGGCCAAGATGATGAGCAGAGACAGTCTTCATTCAAGAAGATGAAGTTGAATGTACTCTGTTTCTTATTTTTAGGAAAATAGAAGAGATAGTTATACTCCCAGACTTGAGTGGGATAATAAAATGGACAAATATCTTTGAACCCTAGCAGCAAGAGAAGATATCCAATATAATTGGGTAAAGATCGCAAAATTAATGACAGAAAAATTTGAAGATTCTCTTACTAAATATGCTAAAATTATTACAAATTATCAGTGCTCCAAAAGATATAAATTTTTGATCAATAAAGGAAAGGTAAAAGGTAATAACTCCTAAATATTCTTATGATAGAAGTATAGCTTAATAAAAATTAATTGTCTCCTTTATATCTAGCAGAATAATGACATTATGCTAAGCATAGTCTTCTATCTCATCGAAAGTTCCCTTCCAAAAATACTAAAATCCTATACCTATAATCCAGTTTTACTTCCTGCATATATTTTTGATTCTTTAATTACTCATAACCTTCTGAGAGAATACCTATCTGCGGATTTTCAGCATGGAGGTATCCTTCTAGCTTTCATAACCCAAAAATAGGTTTTAAAGGAAAAATCCCCCATAAGCCAAGTACTGTTTTGAATTAACTAATGTAGAAGGGCACTCTAGGAAACGAAGCCAGACTATCCAGGCGACAGACCAAAGTAAGCCTATCAATAATTATAGCTACAATGGTAACTACGATGGTAACAAATAACATGGGCGACGTGGAGGAAGAAGCTTCGGTTCGAAACCAGTTAAAATACTTGGCAGATGCCTTCGGAGACTCAACATCAAGCAAAGCTAAATGTAAGGTACTTGTGAGGATTTTTAGATAAACATATCGTGAATGGCTCACAATCGAGGTAGAGTTTTTAGAGCTTAATGATAGTCAAAGTAATGAAATATCAAGAATGTTTAAAAATGGTCCCTCTTCAGAGAATTCTCACCAGAATCCTTAAATTTCGTATCAAGAAGATGATGAACAGATCCAGATTGAATCTTAATGAAGCCAAATCTGAGATTGTCGTCATCTTTTGTGGAAATGGTATGAATAGAAGCTTATTCAGCTCAGAAGAAGCTATTAGCAGGCTTCTTTGACGAGGGTTAGGGCTGAGTTAAGCATTGAGAATACATTTTATATAATATTTAAAACAAATAAAGGGGTTTTGGGGTTTTGGGGTTTTGGGGTTTTGGGGTTTTGGGG